CTGCCAACCGACGTCAGTGGCGTTCTTGTTGTCAGTTTCTATCCAGATTGTCTGAGTGAATGTCTGGAGGTGTAGGCACCTCGGAATGATTGTGTTAAGCTAGCACTAAGTCCCTCCCCCATCCACCTTTATTCTTTTCTTTACAATAAGGCTTTCAAATAAGTCATGGTTGTACGGTAGTGAAGCATCGGTGTTGAACACTGATGCCATGCTGTCGATGATGATGATGATGGTGATGATGATGATGATGATGATTTCACCATACGCATTCTCGTCAGAGCTAAGACAACTACCGAGCTATGTAAAATTCTCCACAATCTCCAGTGATTCCACTGAATTGTAAGGGATAAGTTCGGAGGCCGTACGTTCTGGAGGATAATTTTACAATTTGAAGATTTAAGGTGCATGCCAAAAGATGATATGATGGTGGTTAGTCTATTCAACATGGCTTGTGCTTCGTTGTGGTCTCTAAAAATGAGGACAGCGTCGTCTACGTACTCCATTTCGACAAGGTTCTCAACAGCAACAGTGTGAACACCGGGGTTTCGAAGACTTTTCAGCCTCAATATTTCATCAATTCTGATGTTAAACAAGAATGGAGAGAGTAGACATCCTTGGCAGACACCACTTTTTGTAGGGAAGCTTTTGGAGAGTCCACCATACACTCTCACCCGCCCAGAAGTATGCGAATATAGGGATCGGATCATATCCACTAAATTCTGGGGCATGCCCTGTTGAGCAAGTGTAGTCAACAGCACTGACCGATCGACATAATCTGACGCACCCTTGAAGTCAAGGAATATCAAGATTGTGGGCCGTCTGTATATATGGCGTTGCTATAATACCTGGTTGAGCGTGAAGATGTGGTCCGTGCAGCCCATAGCCGATCGAAATCCCGCTTGATTCTCACGAGCCAAGGTTTCACGTGCCACCGTAAGACGACGAGGGATCGGCCCTGGGTTGTCTCCATCCGATACAAGGCTGGGCAAAGAGAGCGTCCTGCGAGGCATACGCAGTGGCGTACCATAGCACTACTAATCTGATGTTCCCACCAGACTCACGCAATGCTTTGGAGGCATTACGGAGAGCATTCGAATGTCTCCAAAGTGCTTTGGCTACGTCTCTGATCCTTATAGTAGACATTTTCGACCGCATAGCATCCTCTAACTCCCCAATGAAAAGTGCACTGGCATTCCTATATCCACGAAGTACCCATGGATAGCTACCTATCCATATCTTCTCAGATCATCAGTCAACGAAACAGTGGCAGATACAACCAGCATACAACACCTACGCGGTTTTTACAGCTTATGATGATGATGGTCGGACTGCAACATTGTATCCTTGACGAGCAAGTTGTCATGTTGGCCCCACAGGTGTCATAGGCTAGTAAACGCTGCCTTAGCCTTCCCACTTTGAGAAGCGATTCAGTCTTCGACAACAACTCCCGGACTGATGCAGCTGTCCAAATAAACGGACTTATCTACATCGATAGGGTCACCTCTATGATATTTGGGTCTGACTCCACCCAAGCTTACAGTGGCCCTTTACACTTTACAGATGCGAAGCACACACCAAACTTTGCGGCACAATTATTAAGATTAATCAAAATAATTTGCACTTCTAAAGGGTCTGATCCAATGAGATCGATGTCAACGGTGCACTGAACATCCGTAGGCGGACGCCCCGGGAGTATCTGGATTCCCAAAAAATGGAACAGACACAAGCACATCGGTTACGGAGTTAAAAAAGAAAGGGCAACAGAGGGTACTCTTGTATAACACCACTGCATGAAATGAGCTCCGGGGAGGATTCCCCTCATGCAGTTCCACGTCCATGGGAGGCATACAGAGCTTTCATAGGAAACAAGGATGTAGAAGTAGCATCCTTCATCGACGGACTGTCAGTTCCTGACGATCAACGGAGTCAAAGTAGATCTGGGATCAAGGACGATCACTGGTGGACCTCGGAAGGAAGGGCACAGTTCCAATACCTGTCACAAAGTGAAGATATGAGTCATGCAACCTCACCCATTGCAAAACGCCGTTTGATTCTGGTGAATCTGACTCTCCCAGTGACAGGTCAATCTGCGTAAACTGACACCAGAGGACACCTTGGAAGCTGTGGCCACTAAGCTGATTCCTCGGTACTTTTCATACGTTTTTGTAACCACTTTAAAAATCGGAATCAACGTCGAGGCACTCTATTCTGTTGGAATTCTTCAGAAGTTCTGGAGTGGGGTTGCTACGTTAGCCTCAACGGACTCACCAACCTCTTCGAAGAGTGCAGGGTTCCAACCATCTGGACCAGGTGAGTTCATCCAAAAACACATGTACTTCCTCTTTCCCTTCCAAATATGAGAACGATGTCANAGCTCAATTCCTATTTGATTTCCCTTCCAAATATGAGAACGATGTCACTTGCATTTTGCAGACTGAGAAGGCTTTCATCAGTAGCTATCCAAACACCAGGGTTTTAAAGACCCAGAGTTCGTCGCATTACCCTGTACGTCGAGAAATCAAATAGGAATTGAGCTTACATAATTGCCGGGCATCACTTTGCGCAAGGAACCTTTTGGAGAGTTCCCTGTGTACTTTCAGACGCCCGAAAATATGGAAAATCCAGTGTTCGCCCCATCACCCCAATGTTGTATCGAGGGTGGCCATCTATTCGTTACGCCTGGACTGAGCCCGTCAGACTACGCGATAAGAAGACAAAGAACCATATATATATATGTGATGACTACCACGTACAACCATTGTTGTACGGTAGTGAAGCATCAGTGTTGAACACTGATGTCATGCTGTCGATGATGATGATGATGACTACAGGGACAAATATGGTCGTTCACTTGTTCGTTCTGTACGGCCAATGACGGTGTTCCGATCCTGAACAATTTCAGCCCCACTCCACTGGCCTTATGTCGCTCAGCCGTGTTTGGTGAGCTCCGCCAATGCATATGCTATCCGAAACGTGTCGTACCGATGGTGAACTTGGGGATGCGTCATTCGCTGCACATGTGTTTTTTATGTCTGGGCGCGTCCTGACACCCAACAATAACGAAATCAAACACAAAATGGAGAGTGGACATCGCTGCCTGGCAGCGCTACTTGTAGCGAGGCTTTTGAATAGCTCCCATACTCAGCCACAAGTATGTTAACGCAAACAGCGCACAAATTCACGAACTTCTGCTGAATACCCTGTTGCACAAGCGCTTGAAAAGAAGTACCTGGTAGACAGAACCAAACGCACCAAAACTTTAGGATACTTATACCCACTCCATTGCTCTAAAGTATAACAGGTTACGAAGATGCGATCCACACAGCCCCTTCCCGACAACAGTGCTGCCTGCTGATATCGGAAGCATATAGTTTAGTAACCACAAGTTCTTCTGAGTTATTCTGTGGAACTCCATTGAAAACACAGTCTCAGTGTCGTTAAATGGGTAAAAAAGATCGTTCGTCCATAGCACACTTCCGGTGCCTAGCTGTCATCCCAGCCGAAAGTAGCACCGGAGCTGGGATACCGCCAGGTCGCCCAAGCCTACACAGGGGGAGTCAAGAGGGAAAGGTCAGGTTCGAACCAAGGACCTTCCGGTCGGTAAATTTGCGCTTTAATAACTTGAGCCATCTCGCCCCCAGACTCCAGGTGCTCGAGCGACAAGAGGTTGTTGTACTTTTCACTTTATTTATTATTACCTCGACTAATTTCGAAACCGTCGGGGGTTCCAAGTTCACGGCTGCGTTGCCCATTTAGTGTCCGGCTGAGCAGCTGCAGGTGGCCGATTGAATTGTTCAGCCCAACGACTCAGGCGCCCTTCTTTTTCACGGATAAGCCAGCCACTGCTATCAGTGGTGGATTCGCTCACCGGAGGCTTCTTTCGGACCGTTGTACGTATCAGCTGGAACAGTTTATATAAGTTCCCATGATTTATCGCCTCTTCCACCTCTTCAGCTTTCGGGCCCACCAAGATACTCGATCTGCACAGACGGTCTGACAGCTTGTCTAACGGTATTGCATTCTCGACTAGGAGGAATACACGTCCAAGGATCGAGTAATTTTAGAGTCTCACTCGAAATTCAGTGCCTAGGTCTAGTTGAGTGCATGATTCCACAGGCGGAGTACCCAGCATCCTGCAGGGTTGCGGACAGTATCTTCCAGCAAGAGTCAACATCGGAAACAGGAACTTTAGTAGGCGGTTCTGGTAGACTTGTTCCACGTCAGGCTCCGACATCCCCTCCAAGGCCAAACGAGGCGTGCGGATCTTGCACGCCCATGAAAGGAGCAAAGAGAATCAACAAAAAATCACATAGCTGTAGCACCCTTTCGGTGCCTTACTGCCAAGCCACCTGAATGAAGGACGAGGGATGGAATACTTCCATGTTGCCCAGACCCAGATAAGGGAAGTCGTGAGGCAGAGGTCGGGTTCGAACGACAGAACTTCCGGTCAGTAAAAAGCAAGTACTGCACAGAATCATTTTGTTAGCGCCGCACAGAATGGTGGTTAGTACATAACTGCAACAGGCGCTCGATGTTGTCCGTACGCCTTGGTTACAAAATTAGATGACCATCCAACTGAGGCTCAGCTGCGCTAAGTCTACCCACCCACGTAGTCATCATTATCGACAGCAAGACATCAGTATTCAACACTGATGCTCCAGTCGTATCCCCGGGAAACAACGATACCTGGGCTCTTGGCCCGCCACAACAAACCAAATAAAGCGTCATAAAACTCTCTTTGAGTGCATGAGAGCTACAGCCTGTTGGGGCTCAAGTAGACAGTGAACAGGTGATGATTATCGGAGCATTTACGGGACACTCACAAACGTTGCCGAACGGACCTCACAGAGGCGATCATAAGTGAGGAATCACTCAACAAGAGATTCTTCAGCTCGGTAGCTTAGAGCGATACCAGCCCCAGCGGAATAAGCAGCAGCAGCTTCCGGATTTACAGAAGTGCGCGACCAGAAGCGAGCAAAACCGATAGGCAGGTCAGTTCAGCAACTGTATTTGAGTTGTGAATTATCGTTCCGCGCAGACAGAGCACATCAACAGAGGCCAGCGTACACGCAAGAGCAGCGAACGACAATGGCTATCGGACAGCCAAGCGTCAGAGTTTCAGGAATGATTTCGAGGTGTCGGCGGTGAAGTTAACCAAAGATATCGCAGCTAACGGCGGTGTGCGGTGAACGGATCTGTCAGTTCCCAAAAGCGAACCTACGGAGATGACATTAGTAAGCAGAATAGGAAAATAAAATTCATTATAGAAAGGGAGGCATCAGCAGAAGACTAGTTTTGCTTATCCGATCCACTATGCACGTAAGGTTGGTGGCATGAGATTACTTGCAAGTGTGCATTTCATGGTTGTACGTGGGCTGGGGTACTACCAGGACGCCCAGACCAAGACAGAAATACGATTAGGTCCTCTGGCTTGAAAACCCAACCGCCAGGCAGACGTCGTTAGCGTAAGACTGTCAGAACAGCCTACATTTTTCAAGAGCAACCTGCTACACATGTTCCAACCACCAATATGGAGGACCAGGAGACCTCCACCAACTGACCAACCTGGTACGAGAGGCTCTGTTAGTATCACACCTATATTCCCCAGTATCACTCAGTGGGTCGCGGGGGGTGCACAAGCGGTAAGGTTTAGTCTCATTGTTGCTCTAAGACCTGGAGTATTAAGGACCGGTGCTCACATTAGGTTTATTTCACGTCTGCACAAGCGGTAAGGTTTAGTCTCATTGTTGCTCTAAGACCTGGAGTATTAAGGACCGGTGCTCACATTAGGTTTTATTTCACGTCCGCCGGTGGGAACATTTCTCCGAGATTCGTATAGTGCCACTGTTCTTTCCGATTTCCATTGATTGAGTGTACCTGGTAGAGCCGTGTCATAGACCAAACTCTCCTTCGGCAAAGATGGTGCCAGCTCATTCTAGTTCGAAGTAACACCTGATGGTGGAGCAGTTGGAAGAGTTTAGAGGATGGTTCTCAAAATTTTGTCTAAACTCGGGATCTCTCAGCCCCACAGCTGCCAACCAATTTATCAGCCCTCTAAGCCGCCTTGAAAAGCGAAAAACTGAAAATTACCGTAGTGTGATGGTTTGTTTCCGTAACCCGCCAGGCTACAATACATTCGCAGATCCTCTCATATCAGGTTGGTCATTGGCTGTATATCTAATCAAGTCTCCTAGTCTTACGGGTTGGAGATTGGAAGGTATAGTGGTTGGGCCTTTGAAAAATACAACACAAGCATTTCACACCGAACATCGCTATGTTGTGGTTGGGCTCTTGAGCCAAAGCATTTGACCGAGAACCCTTATTACCCTTCTGCCTAGATCTGAGTGTCTTGTCAGTATCCGAGCCCGTGTACAACCAGGATTCATGCAACTGGCGCCGTTCATATATAGATTCGTCTTTTTGCTAGTTTGCACATGCCAGGGGCAGTACCACAACCATCTTAACTGTCAGCCTGATCAAACTGAGTAGATGCGAACGGACACCTATACGTTTGATCTATTTGCGCCTACTCGGCCATTTACTATCGATCACGGATGTTAGTGATTCCGATCAGACAGTCAAGTGGCCAGTGAAAGCAACTCGCGGTGTCGTATCACCAAGTGCGTGCGCATTTGAGGAAGTCACACCCCTTGCCACATAGTTTTCAGGCGCGCAACCGGCAGGTCTGTTCGGTGCAACATAAGTAATTCCTCGATTGTGGTACCAGTAGGGTTACAATCTTCCGAACTCTACCCTCAAGTGCGCGTTCCAAGATTTTAGTTCATGGAACTCCCCACTCCTACTTTATTGGGATTTCTTGTCCGGAAAAACGGTCTTCTGAGTCGTACTGCACTACGTCTTCATGAGGTCTGCGTGATTTTTCGTCTTGCCGAAAGCTGTTTTTTTCTTCACCATTCGCCCTTCCAGGATAGAGCGTGCAGTTCAGAAACTTGCCCCAACTCGACTGAACTCAACAGGTTGCTCCCATCCGTGTGCGCCAGTTTTACACTGTTCGGGAGGCACTATTACCTGCACGTATGCTCCACGCTGTAATTTCTTCTACCCGCGCTTTCTGGGCAACATCATATTCTATGCCATGATCTGACACCATTGTTCGGCTGCTGAGCTATTCAACAAACCTGCCCTGGAGGTATGTGCCGTAGTTTGCAGGGTCGAAGTGTCAAGTGCTAGGCTACCCAAAGGTCCGTCAAGAAGAGACTGGACCTTATCGTAGTGTGGCGGTTTGTGTACCTCGGCGACCCATTGAGCTATACTGGGGGGTGTCCGCGCGACACTCACAGAGTCTCTCGTACCAGGTTGGTCAATGGTTAGAGGTCTGACGAATAGAATCTCCTGGTCCTCCGGGTTGGGGGTTGGAACATGTACGGCGACTTGTTCCGTAGAAAAGGTAATGCATTTGCATTTCCCCGCCAAAAACCGCTGCCTTGCGGTTGGGCTTTTGAGTCGAAGGCTTTGGTTGAGGACCCCAATCGTCCTCCTGTCTAGGTATGGGCGCCCTGGCAGTATCCCAGCCCTCGTACAACCATGACCTACATAACTAACAATATTCTCATGCCACATCGGCCGTCGCGTGGTGCCATCAGCCGGGTCGCCTTACTTGCTGCATACAGCAGGGCGGGTAAGCGAAAACAGG